ACGGGTGCAAGTTCTATTTAAATGACAAATGTAATTAATTAAGTCGAATCCAATGCAGATTTTCAATTTTTTTTACAATGTTTAAGTTGGTACCGAAGCTGTATCTTTACTTTTCTCGGCTCAGTGGAGCCGGCGTATAATTAAGAATTTAGCAGAATGTTGAATTTTGTCATGAAATGTACAAATGTGTTTTTTCGGAAGTAAACTTTATTCTCTAAGTGAAATCCACTCTGTATTCTAGGTTTACCTGAGCCCGTTGAATGGTGAAGTTGTGATATTTTTCTACATTGAACAAAAATGCCCGTTTCTGTAATGTTGAATTACATAGAATCAAGCTCACGAAGGCAGAACTATGATAGAGAATAAGCGAATAAGTCACAAAGCTCAATTCTTCATTATTTGTTGTTGATGAGAGTTTGTGTGTACATACTTAGAATAAGTGAAGCCTGTGATTAAATAATCAGTAAATAATAATTATACCATAGTGTCGTTATTGCATTCAGGTTAAATCTGTTTCAATGATACCAATATATATTGCGTCACGTTTCAGTTACTTGTTTGCCCCGTTTTTTAATTCGAAACTTGCAGGCCGAAAGGTAGAAATTAAATATAAATTTTAATACCTAAGTAAGTTAGTGGCTAGTGTGTTTCAAAGATAGCTGATTGATGCTCGTCCCGGGGTTTCGGGTTTAAACGGGGCTCAGTTCAAATCTCAAGTAACTGTTTCCAGACGATACTATTCAAACTGACAGTTTTTAGAAAAACATCACAATTTTACCATTATCTCGTGCACATCGCGCGCCGGTCGCCCGTTCTCCGAACGACTGATAAAGAGAGCGCGACGGTCGTCGTCGCGCCGCGATAGCGAATATTATAAAACCGGCCTGTAATTTTTGTCCATAATTGTTAATTAGGATAGAGCCCCCCCATTTTGATATTCCAGTGTTACACGGTGTGGAATAAGAGATTCCTAGGTTAAAGTGAAATTAGTGTTTAGAATTACGTCGTTTTGTATGAAAGGACGCTGAGACTGGGCGCGGGGCAGGGCGGGGCTCCCCTCTCGGGCGCGTGGCCTCGTTCGATTTGCCGCGCGCGGCGTGGGTCCCCTCGCGCCCCTGTCGCCGGCGTCTGCCGCCTGCCCCGCGCTCCCGCGCACCACGGCATGCCAACGCGTTTCCTCGCGTGGAAAATCACCCGACGCCTGATGTACATCGCTGCCCCGTTACCGGCGAACGAACCGGCCGGCGATGTAATCGCGCGCGGCGCATGGCGCGTCCTCGCAACTAGACGCCGTTAAAGTAGCGAGCGGTGTTTTGATGCTTCTCGTCGATTCAGTTTTTACTTCGTTCAGTCTTTTGCCGGGCGCCGCTATGTTAAACAACGATTAGTATCGAAATGAGCGGTATCTGTTCACCTACATGCTATTCGTGGCCTCCCCGGTTAGACTTTGTTCTGAATTGCATTTAGCAGGTCGATATGTAATACCAAAGGGAACAAACTTAATTTGAATATGATGAATTGGTTAAAAATGGACATTGGAATCAATAAAGTAACCTCATGAGTAAATTCTAATTTTCCCGCCTTTTCATTTGTGGTAAGATTGAGCTGTCGCATATTTGTGTACGGTGTACGACTATGTGAATAGAATACCTTAGTACGATTTATTTATTTGTGATGTTGAACACTATTGATTTTCTACAATGGACGAAATGTAAATACAACCGATTTTAAGTAAAACGTTATTTTGTTTTTGAAGCTTATTTATTTGCCCCAGATATTCGTCGATGATGTATTTTATAAGACTGTGGTTAAAAATAAATGTAGCGTACAAGTCGCTTACATCTACAAAGACGCAATATATAACGCGTCGTTTACACTGAGCACGTAGGCAAATTGAGGTTAAGTTTTTTTTGCCACGTGAAGGGTCGACAGCAGCCCCCTTGTTGTGTTCACCCTCGCTATCTGGCTTGAAGAGGGAAGATATTGAAAGCAATTGGTAAATGGGTATCTAATTCCTCGTTTTTATGATTTTTTACATAGGTTCTAATGGTTGGCAGTCTGTAGTAATTACTTACGTTAGTAATAATAATACAATGATAGTGGGTTTAAGTCTATAAAATGTACCTATTCGGAACTAATACTAATTGGCCAAAACTGTTAATGCATGAGAATACCTATGCATATTAGTCAAGGTAGGTAGCCCAGGTATACCCAGGTTTTTTAAAATCGTTAAAATTTACTTGGTAACGTAATCACAGTAAATATAGATGCAAGAAGATAAAAACATTGAGAAGTTGCTCGATTTTATGAGGCCTGTAGTTAAGCGAGGTACTTTCTTTGTTGTAGCATTTTATATGGCTATTCGTAGCTATTTGTTAGCATTGTCTCATTTTTTTTTATAGAACATAATAAGGATACCTACACTGATGTCAAGTTTACAAATAACAAACACGAATAGCCATGTAAAATTCTATCATTACATTCTAACAACGGCAAAGTTCATTTGGTTGTTACTAAACAAAATATTTTGGTAGGTACCTAATCATTGTAAGAAACAGCCTTAACATTTATGTAGAACCACACAATAATCATCAAGAAAAGCATTTAACTAGATAATTGAATGTCTATTGGGATTGTGATACAAATATAACCTCTACTGATTTATTACAGAGAGATAATAAAAAAAAATGTATAGTCCTAGGTATTTGAGCAAAAAGAAAATGACGCGTCATAGGTCTTCTAACCAAAACCTATTTGTACAAAAAATATTTCTTAAATAAAGAGGATAGCAAATAAGGTTTTGCTATTTTGTTTATATAAGAAAAAAAGCAACGCATTTGTAATCAGCAATTCCAGAACAATGCATCGTTGTACAACAAAGTCGAAATCACAGTAAATTGAAATTAATTAACCCAGATTTTCGTCTGCGAAAATTGTGTCTACAAATTACTGTCACATTAATGGATAAATATTAACGGATTTTACAGACGAATGACTGGGTCGATTTGAATTATCAACTCATTTCGATTTACCGGGTTTTCGCTATGCAACGACGATTGTGGTTATTATTCTATGAGAATAATTTCTCAGAATAATGCCTATTTTATTAAAGAAATAAGTTTGCCAGCTATCTGTAGATAAAAAAACAAGCTGATAAGGAAAAGAAATAAACTTCGATTTAAAGTACAGCACTCGCAATAAATCATAAAACCACGCTCCTTGTGATTGCGGCTTTACCGTCGAGGAATCGTAAGTACAGTACAGCTCCATCTACACAAACGACAGAAAATAGCGTAGAGAGAAGATATTTTGTGATGTTTTTGTTGGTAATGTTAGATGGCGCTTTCAGCTTCTAAAGATGGACTAAAGCCCGTTTTATACAAAGGGTGGTGTAATGTGAGTTAAGGAGTAAAAGATCTAGGGCGATCGGCCAGTGTAAAATTGCTACCACCCTAGCTAGGGGCCACGCCCACCCTTTCGATCGGGCTCTAAAATTGGCTTAAAGCTAGTGTGACCGATCAATATTTAAAATTTTTAGTACCTACCTATTTCGATTTTCAAATAAAGAAATATCACAAACGCTATGGAATTAACAGACAGAAGTGCAGTCGGTAGACTACAGTTTATATAAGCCTAGGGTTTTATTACACAAAGTTCGCTGCATGTCCTTCCCTCAGATCAAATAGAGGCCCTTCCACGTAAAAAAAATAAATTGTTGTATGTATTGCAAAATATAAATTGCATAAACGACCAAGTCAAAAATAACAGAAAGCACCTGTCTATTGGATAATGTGGTGCCTACCTGTTTAGTTGTTTTTAATTATTTGCTTTAATCAAACGAATGTATTCATACTTATACCTACTTTATCATCTTTAACAATAGGTACATCAGTCTCACCTCTGTAGGTAAGTATGACTTTTATGTAGTGATATTTTTAGAAAGGAAACGGAAACCTATCTTACCTCATCGCCTTGTCAACATAAAAGCACAATAAATAAAAAATATCAAAAACGACACGACTCTTCTAAATCTTAGTAGCGAATTTGTCTAAGTATGTGACAACGAATTCGATTCAAATCCCAATGATTGAAGCAAATAATTAATCTCCATAGTCAAGAGTAACAAACACTTCAACCAATACCTAATGACACAATGAACACAAGAAAATAGGCATGCGTCCGATATATCAAAACGAATCCAAAATCCGATTTCAAACACAAATCGATACCGAACGATTTCTCAACAAGAAAATCCGATTTCAGAAATCTAACCGAACCAAAACGCTAGCGATCTAATACCACAAGTATCCAAATGTAAATCGGATTCGAAATTCGTGCTTTCGTTTTCAGAAGTCAGATTTCGTGCTCGGAAGTCCGATTTCGATTTGCTGTTTACGGAAATCTATTGCCCTTCTCTGAGGTGGGATTATTTATCACTGAAAAGATATGTCGTCTAAAAACATCAAAAGTCGAGCACCTTACATTTTTGGACGCTAACCTGAAGTAATTAGGTTTGATTTTGTAAATGGTTTGAAAAATAATAAAAACAAACAGAAAAACAAAAAAAAATACTAAAAAAATATGTAAAAAGAAATCATTGTATAAAAGCCGATTTTTAAATGCGCCGCAAAAGTTTTACTCTTAACCCTAAACATAACTTTTCTGCTAGTCCTAAGCCTAGATTTAAAGCATGAAGGAAAATCGCGAAAATCTATATAATCCTTGCTTCCTACAATTAATTGTTTGTGATTGTCGTTAGCTAATAAAACCAAATCATAACACAAACTAGTGAATTGGCTAAGTTCGGCACATCTGAAATCGGATATCTAAAAACGGATTTTAAAATCGATTTTGAAATCTGAAATCCGATAAATATCCGATTGCGTTCAAAACCAAAAACGCCCATGTCTACAAGAAAAACTTTTTAGTTCAATTTAAAACGTTATTTTATTTATAATTTATCTTCAACATTAACTCAATCATCACAATGCCATGCATCACAAAACTTTTCCAACCAATGAGAAGCAAGATACGGTTAGCGGAAGTAGGTATAGCTATTTAAAACAACGCCTTTTTAAAACTCACATTGATTTTATTTAGAAATGTTTAATCATACATTGATATTTATGTACCTACTCACATTTTAGGGTAATGTAATGTTATAGGATAAATACGAAACAATATTATGAAAAAATTCCGGAAGTGCCATACAAGTTTCATATTTTAACAAATATTTAAATCTTTCATTAATAAAAATTGCAGTAAGACTAGTAGGTATTATAGTTTTATTTAAATAAGGATTACAAAACAATTGAGGAATTTGATTAACTGGCCTGGAAGCATAATATTAATAGGTAATAACTTCCGTCTCTACACCGGAACCGATTAATGGGATTCAACTTCAAGCACGCTTTGTGTTTATAAATTGGCGCGAAAAGATAAAATTACCTGCGATTAATCCATGGTGGACGATATGGAAATGATGGAATCTTTAGTAATATAGTCCATACTCCTATGCCTTATTTAATGATTTAAATATTAATAGACCCATAGTTTACTATACTTATTTCTTATTAATAAAATGCTATGAAACATTGTATGAAACAAAAATCATATTACATTCGTACCATCCTTAACGTTATATTTAGTCCCGTAGAAAAATTTGAAAATTCTTAACTTTTAAAAACATAATAAAGACCTAAGTAAGGTAGTTAAACAAGTATTTAATGTGATGAAAATACTTATAACCTAAAAATTTCATGAAACAATGGTCAATTTTCAAACCATTTCTTGTACTTTATACGCTGTGCGGTGCTTATGTACGCAAAGATGATGTTTGAATATAGTATCTCTTGTCTTAATGGTGACAAATCCACTGCGATTGAAAGATAGCATTGTGTTTGTTTGTGCTATTGTGAGAATTTTATTTACATTCAATCCAGTGTGTAGTGAGCGGTTCCGAAGGTAGGACGTTGTCGCCGCGTCCTCGTACGGCTGTAACTTTCACGCAAAAATAGTATTTCGTATGCTTAAGTTTCTCAATAAGACACTTCCTGTATTTATTGACGTAAAATGTGGATGTGAACAGTGCAATTGACTTGTGAATTTGAATTGTTTTGTTTCTAGTTTCTCTCTAATGGGAGAAATTAAGGTATTTATTTATTGTTTTTATGTGTGATACTGTAGTTTTAATGTATTCATTAATTTACTAATTACATTTTAAATAAATAAGTTACTAATTTCTTGATATCCAAATACAGCATATTTATTTTCGGTTCCTTCATAAAGTTTAACGTGTGTTGTTAAGTTGTTACATGTATAAACACACTAAAAACAGATTTTAGACGTTAAATTATATTTCTGTATTTATTATTATAAAACAATACGGACTGTTTGTAACTGTTTTCATTAATCACTTGTAACATTGTAGGCATTAAGAGTAAATGACTCGGGCTACCACAAGAAAGGTTCCGTACTTGCCTAATATTTTTTAGGATTCCGTATCCAAAGGATAAGAACGAGACTCTTTTACTAAGACAGGCTGTCACGAACCGTGATAGCTAGCCAGTTGAAATGTCACTGATGATGTAGGTATTTCTGTTGCCGCTCTGTCAACAAATATTAACAACAATAAAATAAATACCTAGTCTTACGATTTTTTAAGTCTGACGACATCCGTGGCCGAGTGGTTTATACACCGGGTTTCATGGTGTCGCCGACTCGAGAGGTCCCGGGTTCGAATCCCGGTGGGGGCTTGTTTGTGTGATAAATATTCAAAACGTAACATAAATATTCCATATTTAACTGCAAATCCTTAATATTTAACTTGGCATCAAAAAGCTTTAAACTCAGATTATAGAATTTCTGAGACTGCGACTTTATCGAAAAGAAGAAAAAAGTACTTTTGAAAGAAGTACCTACCTACCTGCGTTCAAATTTAAAACACGTATATACAACGGTACGGTTAAACCTTATTAAAAAGTTAAAGACAAGTAAGGTAAAAGTTGTATTTTGGCGGGGCAGTCGTGTATTTTTAGATTTCCAAAGTCAACAAGAATTTAATATGGTATTGTTATGGCCGTCTGTCTGCGTAAACATTTAGTGAGGATTTCTATATTTATTGTTTTAAACTTTCATGGTCACTAACATTATAGCTATTAACGGGATTGTTACCATGTACATAGCTTGTTTTTTATGAGTCTCCGATATTTCGGTACAGTTGCAAGCCCCATGATCACGGAGCCGGAGTAACTCACATGACGCTTGCAACAGTGCCGAAATATCGGAGACTCATAAAAAACGAGGTATGTACATGGTAACAATCCCGTTAATAGCTATAATAATTTGTTAAGATGGGTAATGTCATATTTTTTTAATATTTTATGCGCATGTTATACTTAGATTTTAAACTGTTTTAGTTGTGTAAAACAGTATAGGGCTAATAACGCACTGGAGTGGGCAGCTCTTACCAACTACGGAACCCCACATTATAAATAAATAAATATTTCCAACACTCACACCAATTAGCCTAGCCCCAAAGTAAGCACAGTAAGGCCGTATACAGAAAGAAAGCCGAAAGCCGATCGGCGCCGATCGGCGCTTATCGGCGCCTATCGGCGCCGATCCTTCCTACATAAAGGAAGCCGATTAAAGCAGATCAAGCAAAATGTCGGACTCATCGGACGATGATTTGGTTTTGTTAGTAAATGTTTATTTAAAAATGCGATAAACAGCTATACATCCTATAAATAGAGAAAGGAAACGTTTCGGAGAATACCATCATTTATTTGTAAAAAAAATTAAATTTGATGAACAAAGATTTTATACATATACAAGAATGATTCAAGAAACATTTTATTACATTTTGGATTTAGTGAAAAACCGTTTGATGAAAAATTGGGGCAATTGGCATAAACAACCAATCCTTCCAGAAGAAAGACTTGTTGTCACCATTCGGTAAGTACGAAACAAATAATTTTAGCGCTTAGTTAATAAAAGATAAAGTTATTAGCTTTATAAAAAGATTATAACTTAGATTGATTTAAACTAAGGATAATAATTCAAATACAAATTATTTATTATTCGGACCAGCGCGTGTCGGCGCCGGTCCATAGAAAAAGGATCAGCGTCAATAGGCGCCGATAAGCGCCGATCGGCGCTGATCGGCGCCGATCGGCGCTTATCGGCGCCGATTATTCCTACATAAAGGAAGCCGATTAAAGCAGATCAAGCAAAATGTCGGACTCATCGGACGATGATTTGGTTTTGTTAGAAAATGTTTATTTAAAAATGCGAAAAACAGCTATACATCCTATAAATAGAGAAAGGAAACGTTTCGGAGAATACCATCATTTATTTGTAAAAAAAATTAAATTTGATGAACAAAGATTTTATACATATTATATACAAGAATGATTCAAGAAACATTTTATTACATTTTGGATTTAGTGAAAAGCCGTTTGATGAAAAATTGGTACAATTGGCATAAACAACCAATCCTTCCAGAAGAAAGTTGTTCGCCAAAATGTTGTTCGCTTATACAATAAAGTCCCAAGCAATATCCAAGAGTTAGCCATAAATAAATTTAAAGATATTATAAAAAAACACTTATTAAAAAAGCTTATTACAAAGTGTCTGATTATATTACAGACAAAAATGCTTGGGTTTGAACTGTTCCAATCATTCCAACAGGTTTTCTATATTAAATAAATCATAATTGTATTGACGTTGTAACAACATAATGATTTGTAAATGTTGTTAAATTAGACTTTTAATGTTGTGGAGTGTTTTTCGCTCGTTTTTCTCCGCAGCTAAAAAATATGTCCATAACGAGTGGTAGGGAAAAAAAATTTTTGGACGATTCAAAAGAGTTGTACTATACATCCAATTTGAATAAAGATATATTGATTTCTGATATCTGATTTCTGAAAGACTTGTTGTCACCATTCGGTAAGTACGAAACAAATAATTTTAGCGCTTAGTTAATAAAAGATAAAGTTATTAGATTTATAAAAAGATTATATCTTAGATTGATTTAATCTAAGGATAATAATTCAAATGCAAATTATTTATTATTCGGACCAGCGCGTGTCGGCGCTTATCGGCGCCGATAAGCGCCGATAAGCGCCGACACGCGCTGCCCTGAATAATAAATAATTTGTATTTGAATTATTATCCTTATATTATATTATATATTATACCAGCGCGTGTCGGCGCTTATCGGCGCTTATCGGCGCCGATCAGCGCCGATCGGCGCCGGTCCATACAAAAAGGATCAGCGTCAATAGGCGCCGATAAGCGCCGATCGGCGCTGATCGGCGCCGATCGGCTTTCGGCTTTCTTTCTGTATACGGCCATAGAAAAAGGATCAGCGTCAATAGGCGCCGATAAGCGCCGATCGGCGCCGATCAGCGCCGACACGCGCTGGTCTGAATAATAAATAATTTGTATTTGAATTATTATCCTTATATTAAATCAATCTAAGTTATAATCTTTTTATTAATCTAATAACTTTATCTTTTATTAACTAAGCGCTAAAATTATTTGTTTCGTACTTAACGAATGGTGACAACAAGTCTTTCTTCTGGAAGGATTGGTTGTTTATGCCAATTGCCCCAATTTTACATCAAACGGTTTTTCACTAAATCCAAAATGTAATAAAATGTTTCTTGAATCATTCTTGTATATGTATAAAATCTTTGTTCATCAAATTTCAATTTTTTTACAAATAAATGATGGTATTCTCCGAAACGTTTTTTTTCTCTATTTATAGGATGTATAGCTGTTTTTGACATTTTTAAATAAACATTTTCTAACAAAACCAAATCATCGTCCGATGAGTCCGACATTTTGCTTGATCTGCTTTAATCGGCTTCCTTTATGTAGGAAGGATCGGCGCCGATAAGCGCCGATCGGCGCCGATCGGCTTTCGGCTTTCTTTCTGTATACGGCCTATGGACCGGCGCCGATCGGCGCCGATAAGCGCCGACACGCGCTGGTCCGAATAATAAATAATTTGTATTTGAATTATTATCCTTAGATTAAATCAATCTAAGTTATAATCTTTTTATAAATCTAATAACTTTATCTTTTATTAACTAAGCGCTAAAATTATTTGTTTCGTACTTACCGAATGGTGACAACAAGTCTTTCTTCTGGAAGGATTGGTTGTTTATGCCAATTGCCCCAATTTTTCATCAAACGGTTTTTCACTAAATCCAAAATGTAATAAAATGTTTCTTGAATCATTCTTGTATATGTATAAAATCTTTGTTCATCAAATTTAATTTTTTTTACAAATAAATGATGGTATGCTCCGAAACGTTTCCTTTCTCTATTTATAGGATGTATAGCTGTTTTTCGCATTTTTAAATAAATATTTTCTAACAAAACCAAATCATCGTCCGATGAGTCCGACATTTTGCTTGATCTGCTTTAATCGGCTTCCATTATGTAGGAAGGATCGGCGCCGATAGGCGCCGATAAGCACCGATCGGCGCCGATCGGCTTTCGGCTTTCTTTCTGTATACGGCCTAAGGGTGCGGCCAGAGTGCACTCAGATTCAGACTCAGATTCAGATTTCGAAAACAAGCGCGAGAAATAAACAGTGTAGTCTAAGCAGGTTGCTTGATTTTTCTCGCGCTTTGTTTTCTGAGTCTGAATCTGAATCAGGAGTGCAATCTGGCCGTACCCTTCGACTACACTGTTTATTTCTCGCGTTTGTTTTCGAAATCTGAATCTGAATCTGAATCTGAGTGCACTCTGGCCGCACCCTAAGGCTTGTGTTATCGGATAGAATACATATACTGTACATATATAAGTATATTTATATAGATATACATATTTAAACATCCATGACTAGAGAATAAATGCTCGTATTCATCACAATAACATCTGCCCCCACCGGAATTCGAACCCGGGACTTCTCGAGACGGCTACACCATGAAACCCGGCGTACAAACCACTCGGCCACGGACGTCGTTAATTTTTTTTTTCATTGTTCTTTTTTCTGTTCTGCGTCGATGACCGATAAACGGTCGTTCATTTTTGAACATGTAACCTTTTGTTGTAAGTTGATGTGACGATTGTGATAATGATAAGGAACAAAACAATCCTCTTTTGTTATGAGCTGTTATCAACCTACTTTTAGGC